CCCCCCCCCCCCCCCAAAGTTCTCTTTCGTTTGAAAATTTTCAGTTATTTTCCTTGCCCTCCTAGCAATTTTCTCTTTCCTTCCAAATACACTCTGGCAGGTTTAACCAATTTTTTATTGATAAATATCATGGCATGACTGACTTGCTGCAGGTGTGCCATTTATACTGAAGGCAGGAAAAGCACTGAATTCTAGAAAGGCAGAAATTCGTATCCAATTTAAGGAAGTTCCTGGTGATATATTCAGATGTAAGAATCAGAATTAAAATTCCTTCCCTCTTTTGATATAAAAGATGTTCAGTCTTCTTCTATAAACGTAACACTATTTTTTTGGCGTGTCCCATCTATTAATTTGAAGTCAGTTTTGAAATTTGTGGGGTTTCAAGTTTTCTGCCGAAGTGCCAAATGCCAATCAATCTAAGAACAATGAATGCTAGGGTAGGGGTGAAACACCGTCTACATATAAAAAAATACTTACTGCCATATTTCCCTTAATACTTACTTTAGAAACAACAATAAACTAATTGCATTAGAAAAAGGCAACAAACTAAGTGCATGAAAGATATAAAATCAACTGTTAACTCTTAAATCTCAAAAGCAAAATTTTTTTGGGTGGTGGGAGTTGGAGTCTGTGATTTCATGACTACCGTGGCTCATTATTTGTTACAGTTGCAATGAATAAAGTATTGAGTGTGTTGTATGTAAAAACATATTATCAGGTCAAAAGCAAGGAAGGAATGAATTTGTTATACGGCTTCAGCCTTCAGAAGCAATGTACATGAAACTCACGGTAAGCCATTGTTTCCACTAGCTAATATTGTTATCATGTAAAACAGAACATGAAAGTGTTATTATATGTACATAGTATGCGGGATAGGCCAAATGATGCTGAGAATGTGGCAACACATACCCCTTATTGCAGGTGAAGCAACCAGGACTGGAAATGTCAACGGTTCAGAGTGAACTTGACCTGTCTTACCGGCAACGCTATCAAGGGGTTACCATTCCAGAGGCTTATGAGCGCCTTATACTTGACACGTACCATTCTCATCCCTCTATAATTATGATATTCCTTTTTTTCTTTTCTTTTTTACCACCTTAAACTTTTCTTTTCTTACTCGGTTTTTTTTGGATGGGGGCTCATCACATACAGCATAAAGGGGGATCAGCAGCATTTTGTTCGCAGGGATGAGCTGAAGGTATATATATACCATATATTATAGACTCAAGCATAATTAGTATCATGTATCCATGCATGCAACATAGGAGAAATGTGTAATCTCGCATAGATGAATATATATTATTATTATTATTGAATGGTTATGGTGGGTGTGAGTATAGTATAATAACGGTGGGGGCTGGGTGTACAGGTGGCATGGGAGATATTCACTCCGATACTGCAGAGGATAGATAAGGGAGAGCTGAAGCCAAGGGCGTACAAGTCAGGCAGCCGTGGCCCTGCAGAAGCAGACGATTTGCTCAAAAGGGTAGGCTATGCCCAAACACATGGTTACATTTGGATCCCTCCCACTCTGTAATTAATACTATCATGTACGTGCGTGCAGAGTATATACATAACCAAAGCAAGACCTAGTCGATCACTCGAACTATGGCCACAATAATGTCCACTCATATAATTCTCTTCATATTCTAATAAAACGTTGCATACACGTATAGTAGATGCCATTATCATTTGTTATTGTTTTTGGTAAATGGATGTTTTTGATTATATATAAAACCAAAATGTTTCTGCAATCTCCATTATGTGTTGCCTAAATCATCTCAATCTAGTTTTACCAACATATTATCCTCTACGGATAATATTCCACCCAAACCTGAATGTCTTTGATTCGAATTCTAATTCTATCCATCCTCGTACATTCATCTCAGTATCTTCATCTTTGTGACTATGTCGGCACTCTTAGCCTCTGGGCGTACACGCAAAGTCTTCTTAAGAAATTTGCCTCTAGCCTTCTGGATATCATTATGTTAGACAGGACATCTGAAGCATGCTTAATTCCAGTTCGAGCATTCATCAAGGCACTCCAATAACACGTTCAATGATCTCCCACCAGCCTGGATCCAAGTTAATATTGAAACTTGTCCTTTGCTGTAAAATGAAAGCAATATAAAAAACAAGTAATTCATAAATTGTCTGTGAAAGCGTGATGTATAAATGTGGGTATACCCCTAGCAAATTAAAATCCAGTATGCCAAACAATTCCTAATTAAGTAGTAATGGCCAATGGGAATACCTTTATTACTTTATAATATGATTAATTAGGCCATCACTATATGTATGTATCCCTTGCATGTATCACCTGCAAAAAGCAAAAGGCGAATGAAAAGGCTTTAAATGCTTTTATCAATCTGCACATCACATGGCCTCCTGCATGCAAGTGCGCCTCTATCCCGCATATACACACACACACACACACACACACATATCTATATCTATATATATATATATATATATATATATATATATATATATATGTATAGTCAAAATAATTTCTTCACTATTATTGAAAGTAAGTGCTAATTATTGTCATTTTGTTCTTCACACACTATGTCTTATAAAATCATACTAGCTCTCTCCTAGAGTTTTCATCCAATTTGACTTTTTTGAGTCAAATTAGACAAATTTTGAGCCTTAATTAAGTAAAAATTATAATGTATTTTAGTATGAAAGTGATTTTAATATACTTAATTTGTTAAGAACTTTAAAAAATCTATTCCATTTTATTAATATGAAATATGAATTAAGAGTAATTGTAGTTAAAGTTTGTCTAGATTGATTCGAAAAAGTTAAACTAGATACATATTCTGAGACTGAATTTTTTTTTTGAAAGTGATAATAAAAGTTGAAAATTGTTTGGGAAACCCCACTTTGGGTACATCAAATTTACAATGAGGTAAAAATCAATACACATAGACAAATAATGTTTGTGCATACACAGACGCCGCTGAGTGTTTGTGTGCGCATATTTTTGCCTTTGTGTATCACAAGTGAGTTTCTCTAGCACTCATAAAAGTTTTAGGAGAGACAATATTATATATCGACTTTCAATTTTAGAGGCTACAATATTTAAATTTGAGTAAGAAATAAATATAAAAAATTATCAAATGAAAATATTGTTTCCGTCTTACTTTAATTGTTAACTCTTTAAACTAATTTCTATTTAAGGAATTACTGTGATATATGGAGCCATTGCTTATTAATTGTACGGAGTAACATATTACTCCTTGAATGGACAATTTATTGAATAATATAAATAATCAATAAGATGATACTCCTTAGTACTCCTCTCTTTATTTAAATTATCTCTTAATTATACACATGGTCAATTTTTAGTCATTTTTTACTATTTTTGTTATTCATTTGATAAATAATATACTAATATTATCTCTAATTTTGAAGAATTTTTTTATGTAGTTGTTAATTATATAAATTTATTTTTTAATTCTACAATAATTTTTAAATAAATATTTTTTTGGCTAGTTATATTTTGAATGGACAATGTTTATTGACACAATACATATAATAACATTATGTTAATTCTAAAATATTAACATAATGTTATTATATGTATTGTATGAATAAATATTGTCCATTCAAAATACTACCCGGAGTACTCCGTAAAATATTAAAATGGTAATGGAACATGCACTTCACTTTTTTTCTAAATAATGTTGATAGGGACGTTGACCAATTGACCGAATAGACAGTTGCATTGCGGATTGGCTATCCATCAACCACTAGCAACGCTTTCTGTTTTTCCAAAAGAAGATTTCTTTTCTGGGAAAGTTTCTTTGACCCATAGAGTATGTTAAATAAACTTTTAATTACACAATTTCATGCCTTTAATTAATAATAATGGTATGTGCAAAGGTATCACTGATTATATACAGAACTATGTTGGATTGGTTGGAACTGGTGGTATAAAGCCAGCTTCCTCCGGTGACCGGAACCTAACCCCGTCTGTAAATTGGCGCCCTTGCGCGGGAACTCGATCCATCATCATCATGGTCGCATCCACCATCATCGTCAGCTCATGTGGTCCGTCTCTGCAGCAGCTCAAAGGTAGCGCCCGGCTTTCGCTATTCATTCATTCATTCAAGAGGCTGGGTAGGGATGAATGGAATCTCTCCTCTTCTTTTTTTTTTT